AAATAATGGTTCTAACTTTACTGAAATGGCTTAATTTAATTCGTTATCCCTCAAAAGATGGGGATAGACACCAAAATTATTCTGATACCATGAGTAGTTACTGAGATATTGACGAAAACTGGAGTTTCAGTAATGGCCACCTTAATTTGCATATTGTGCGAATTGCCCAAGGATGACAGAGTGGCATCATTCAGATTCTGAAAGAGCACACCTCAGAGATATAGAAACAACAAAAAAACTTTGTATGGACCGCATTGCACGCTTATCGGTCTCTGCCACCAGACTAATAGCGCCGAGAGCAGCTCACATCGCGGGGCGCTTTGAAGAAATAAAAACGCAAGCGCGCAATTCGCTAAACGTAGGTCAAGCTTGGTGATACCCCACACCTGGCTCTCAACAGAAAGAAAAGGGTGTAAAAGGTAATTTCTATCTCAGAGAGAAGGGAATTTGTTTTCGGCTTACGCAACAAAAATGTTCCCTAGAGTGAAAAAATGAACTTTTGCGTATGCTTTAAGGTGTGCTCAAAGATAGAATTTCGCTCAGCGATACTCGTTATTCAATGGCTGATTTCAACTCTGGCACACGCTTTAACGGAATGTATCATCATCAATAAACTAGGAAACGATGAACCTATTGTGGAGTTGTCCTGCATTACATTAGAGATCCTTTAGTGGACAGCTTGTAACAATGCTGAGAGGCACATACACTACGGCCGCACATCTAAACAAGCCCATAGCATGCATCGCGTGCATGCCTAAGGTCTGTCATAGTAGAACGTACAGAAAAGAAGATATGTACAGGAAAGAAATTCTAAATGCGACCTAAAAGTGATAAATAAAGGTGAAACTTTCAGCCTCCAGTAAAAAATACTGAATTAAATCAAAGCTAGGCCGCCAGCTTATCACGCCAGATTACTTGACAGATAACGTATTTCCAATCATGGAGGTTAATCTCTATGACGTATGTAATCAGTCAACACTGATTGAAGAAACACACCCAACGTCGAAGACTTCCCGGAAGCAAGTTTCTGCAAAGTTTCTGTCGCTTAGTTTTAATCTGTGGTCTTCGTTCGTCAACCTACTCTCGAATAGCATCATTGCAAAGTTTCCCGCCTTTCCCCTCACTAAACAAGAATAAAATTATCCAACATGTACAAGCGAGCTGCAACTGGCGTTATCTTTCACTCGTAGTATTCCTACTTTAAGGTGGAGGATGTCAGAAAAAAAAAGCAAAGAATTGCCTGTGATTCTGTGCAGTCTAGACTCTACACTAGTAGTGATTGAAAATTGTGCTTTCCACGGTGAAAACATTTCATATTCGTTGTTCACTCATTCCAGGAATCCCAAGGATGTCAGTGAGACTACCCGCTCTTCTTGCCGCCCTGTTGTTGGCACAGATCCTGTGTGCCCGAGCCTTCACCTACACGCACACCTGGGGCCGCAAGCGTGCAGAGTCCTCGGAGCTCCTCACACCGGAGGCTGCCGCAGACAGTATCCCTGCAGCGGAGGTAAGAGACATCTAGCGACTGCACTTTGAAACGCAACGCAGATTCGCATGCCAGTGACGTTCAATACTTTTGGTACGGTGCACGAGCGCCACTCTACAAATTGGATATGAATTACAAGTTCAAATTCATTGGCCTGTACTGGCTGTGAAGTAGCAACCAACCAAGAAGGTTATGTTTTTGGGTCTACGTGTCAAGGTCTACGCGTGTGCCTGTTTGTGAACAGCATAACTCGAGAGGTTGTGGTTGGATCTATATAATATTTGGTATGTTGGGAGGTGCTAGCAAAACAAAGAAATGTTTAGACTATGGTCCCATTAGTAGCTTTCTATGTACTGCATGCACGAATTTCAGGTTATTCCAGATAGGTCCTATAATTGATACCTTTCACACCTTAGCATTCAACCAACTCTCCTGTGAACTAGACGTAATCACGTTCCGCAGTTGAATTTTCTTGCCATTCCATGATCCTTTCCTTTTCTCTCGAACTAGGAAGGCAAAGGTCATATACGTACACATCCACGCTCACAAGACCACTAAGGTTTGCCTCGTGCCACTTCAATCACTGACGGGCTAATGTTGTTAGAAATAGCATGGCTGCCCGCCTACCATGTATGTGAAGAGTGTGCTAAAATCAATTACAAGGGCGTGAGTTGTTTTAACCTTAGGTTAAAGCATTAGAAAATCGGTGGCCTTCATGCTTCCCGTGGCATGTGCGCGTGTACGAGAACACTTTCATCCCACACGAATATTTGAACAAAAAATTTAAAGCTAGAAGGACCCTTTTCAACTAGATCAGCGATCGTACGGCGGCCGAAAGTGGATTTGTGTAGTCCTTGATTTTATAACTGGAATGTGATGGACGATATGAAGGTATAATTTAAAAGACAACAGGACATACAAGACGTAAAAAAAATCATTCTTTACCTATGAAATTCATTGTCTGTCAAATTGCCTCTTGTGGAAAGGGGGTGTAAAGCAGTAATGACCGCCTGTGTGAATCCTATCTATTGACTCGGTCCCAAGTCAAACCGCCTCACGGACTCTAAAAATGTCTGATATAAGGTTTCGCTTGTCATGGTTGACAATAATGAGGTATGAATCGTCTTGTTGTCATCGTAGTGAACAGAATATTTTCTAGACAGTTGTCGTTTGTGCAGTGATTCTCCACATCGGCGATCAAAGGACATCCATTATACAGGCATAAACGCGATTACTTCAATATGGCGGGAGATATAATTGGGTTTTTAAGAAGAGCGAATACTCCAATATAGCAACGACTATAGCTACAGACGTCTACAGAATATGATTACTACAACACATGGGGCCGTGTGTCAGACTCCGTGTTCATCTCAATGCCTGTTGAGTTTATAGCATCCAAACGCCAGTCATGACTGATTCCTTGTCATGTGTAATGTGGATGATTTGTCTTTTTTCCACAATCTTTCTAGGAGAGAAAGAAGTGACAGAAGTTTGGATCCTTATAATTTGGGTGGAGAGTATGATGAACTAAAACACTATTTGCATAATCAATGAAAACAGTTCTGATTCGTCAGTCGTAAAGGTTCACATCATTTAGCATACTGTAGGTACGAGGACGAGAAATTGTAGTTAAGACTTTTAACTTAAAAGTTGCATAATTGTTATGGTAAGTCGATACTTCATGAGTGCGTGACTTCTTGTAGCAGTTCAACAATATCAAATTACCTTTTCACCCACAGGTTTACGACCAAAGTGAAGGGTCAAAGGTCACGAAAGAAGACTTTAAGATGGCGGTTCGCACCCTGTTCCGGGTCCTGGGAGACTACCTC